GAGAGCAGTGGTTAAGAGGGCTGCTGAACTTCCTACAATGCTGAGGGCAGACCCTGTAACAAACTATCAAGCCCTAAGCATGCACCATGTGGGGCTGAAACTAAAGTAGGCCAACCACTCCTCCAAGTACCTTCATCCTTGCCAAACCCAAATAGAAACCCAGTGACTCTGCCCCAGCCCTCCCAGTCACTCACTCTTTCTCCTTGGAAGCTGGGGACAGAAAACTGCAGGCCTGAACAGGAGTAGGTGTCCAGCAGAAACAGCCCAGAGAGACTGCCACTCCATGGTATGCTACTGCAAAGGAGCAGAATGGACAAGGCGCCAAGCAGACAGCGCCATGAGGACAAACTGGGTCATGAGTGACTGGTCACCACCTGGTGGCCAGCCAGCCACCCTCAGCTGCTTCCTTCTCGTGGCAAGTCTCAGTAAGACACAGGGGCTCTGCCAGCCTGGGAAAACCTTTTAAGTGGAAGCCTATGAGCGAGATTCCATGTTACAGGGTTTATTTTTCCCAGATCCAGCCCTGATGAATCAGAGCCATCTACATTCCCATATGCTGAGAAACCCAATCTGTACACAGTGACACACATGCCCCCCATGCCAGCACAGACACATACACACACACACACACACACACACACACACACACACACTATGGGACATGACTGAGCACAAAATGCCAGTATCTCACCCTGTGCCACATTAGAGAACAAGGCAGGGACAGAACTACCCATCTGATGAAGGGAACCAAGGTTGATTTTCCGAGACACAGTCTAAAAAGTGGGGGGGAGCGGTGGCAGGGGTACACTTTCTAAAGTACCTCCACACCTGGAGTTAATCTTGAAGATCAGGCAGAGGGCCAAAGGTCACAGAGGTTTTACACCTTCAAAGAACAAGGTCAGGTTCCAGTGAGCATGCAGTAAGGCACTCAGGGTAAACGAAGAGGCAGGAGAACCTTCTGCTAGGCCAGAACCCACTCAGGAAAGGTTGTTCTGCATCAAGGACCTGACCAGGAAGGAAAGAGATCAAGACCACCGTAGTGGAATGATGACCTCAGGAGCAAGAATCGAAGCCTACTGCTGAAGGGAAAGGATCTCTGAGGTCTTAGGGATGGGATCTGACTCTCAGATGCCAGGGCACATCTGTAAGCATCGCACCTGTGTAATGCTACTCCAGCACACTACATGGAGACAGGTGTAGAGGACTCAAGTGAATCCTTCAACTGCTAACCTCGAAAAAGGAGTCCCAAGAAAAGACATGAAGGTTGCAGCCTGGAGCCCTCAAGATAGTAGCATATTCGGCAACTCACAAGGGAGGACCTCACTGTCAAATCTGTATGGCTTGGCTGGGTCAGCTCTTCTGTACTTGGCATACTATCCTCAGCATTGCAACAGGAGCTTCAAGAACAGGCTTTAAGAGGAGGAAAGACTAACAGCCACAAAGGAGGGGGGCCTGATGAAAACTGTGGCTTTTCTAGTGTAAATCCTGTTGTGCCCACCAGATTTCTCTCCCCAGGACACCTTGTCTTCTTCCAGGGTGGCAGAACTACCCACCTTTACCCAGACCATCTCAGCACTCCTGAGTGACAGACAGGGAAGCAGCTTGTCTATTCAGACCCTAAAGTCGGAATTTTCTCCAAAGTATGTCCTCTGCCCAAAGACCTGAGGACCATGAGCAGCAGCAGTGAGGAGTAACAAATGGTGCTATTTATTCCCCAGCCCCAGTCACTTCGGTGACAAGTCCACCAATCTCTTCTACCTCAGGTCCAGAGAGGAGCCCACCTCACCTGGAGCTAGGCAGAGAATGTGAAAACAACAGCTCACAAGACCCCTACCTGGCTGACCCCCCACCCCAGTACAGGTACCTCAATAGTCTCCTTCTCACTCCAGCTGCAGGGCCAGTGTTTGTACACTTTATCAGTTACAATCTGCTTCCACTGTCTTTGGGAGCCCAGAGGCAACTATAACTTCTAAACAGAGAATTTTATTTATTTAAGAAAGTTTATCTGTGCTCACCTGCTTTCTTGGAATCCCACTGTAACCTCACAGCTGGGTGGAGAGCCCCTCAAGACTTTCCAAAAAGCAGGTCATTAATGGCCTTCAAAGTTCACAGCTCAAGCCCCAAAGGAACCGATCAGATCAGTCTCAGAGGTGCAGTGAAGAATAAAAAGCCTTACGCATGTCCAGAAACCAAAGCAACACTTAGGATTTCTGCCTTCTGGTTTCATAGGTTCTGTAGTTTTTCTTTTTCCTCTTTTTAAGTTATTATTCAGTAATACTACTATTTGCCCGCACCTACTAAGAGCATTTAATCCTCAAAAATAAAATCCATAACATAAAAATGTTTATTGTACTGCATAGATGAGAAACTGAGGCTCAGAGAAATGTGGTAAATTAATGAAAGCCAGAAGCTACTCTCCTCACTTGGATGTCTACTGTTCACTCAAAAACATTACTGGTTCCCTAAGTCAGTCAGCAAGTCAGCATAGCAACTGAACCCCTCTGCAATTTAGTCCCAAATTCCCTCTCCAATTTTACACCCTAATGTCCTTTACTGAGTGTCACAGCCCCATCAGGTCCCTCTTTATCTCAAGAGAAGCCCCTTCTGTACCATCTCCCACAGAAGCTCAAAGCCCTACTCTGGGACCCTACAACTCCTATGAGAGTGATGCCAGCCTCTGCAGTGCACACCAACACCACAGAGGCACATGCAGCCACACTCTCCCAGTAGCACCCTTCCACAAGAAAACACTTCCGCTGTTCCATCCCAGACAGCCACACTTCACCCAAAGGCAGCCTCACCTCAACAGAATCCCTTCCCCTCTTCCTGCAGCAATATCCACTGCCAACATACTAGGGCCCCTGGGAGACTTAACATGATTAAAATGTTAAAGATTTTAAGATGCTCAAGGGAAAGCCATCCTTGAAGTGCAAATCATCAATTTGGGGGAAAGAGGAAAATATAGGGGGATATCATGACAGATATAAATGAATTAAGTTCTCAGCAACATTATGCATAAATTGCTTTAACAAACACAGCCTGAATCCCAGCAATAAGTCCAGAGTTTGCGGCAAACACCCTTGGTGGTTTTCAGCACTTATTCCTGCTTAGTTTATTAAATCTGCAATCCGATGAGCACCGACTTCCTGGGTTTTGTCAAATGGAGAATAACAGTTCTGCGATGAGTTATTTAACAGGCAGGGCACACAGTTAAGAGGCAGGCTGGGATGCTGAAGCAGCAGAAATTCTACTGAGATTCCTCAGACAATCCCCAAAGCCTAGTACCAAAGCTGAGCACCGTGCAAATAAACCAGGACACAGAGAAATGGACTGACTATGGAACCGGAGCCCTAACTTGAACTAGAAAAGAAACGTAAGTCCACAAACTACAGAATTTAAATTCTGCCTCTACATGCATACTCTACATCTTTTTTTATGCACATATTTTACAAACCACATTTTCCTTTATGATGAGGAGGAACGTATATGTGGAGACGATTCTGGTGTCTAAACCCACAGAAACAATTTAGAGGAAAGAGTTTTCTATAGATTAGAAATTCCATTTGCCCCATTCAGGAAGGCATTCAGGGCCTCTCCATTTTATATCAGGGTCCGCCCCACTAGGCTAGTGTGTCCGCTACAATTTCAAAAGCCCTGGCTCTTACACCTCTTTTCCACTGATGAATCACTAGGATTAAATTTTATGGTTGGCTGATATAAAGACTAGAAGCCCAAATCATCAGTCCATGTATAAAATTGTTCATTTCCCCTACTTTTCCTACATGGTCCTCCTCATCAGGCCACAAGTTCTTAGATTTTAAGCTAAAAATCAGACTGGAGAGCCATCAGATTTTTAACACAAAGACCTGGTTAAGGATTCACCTACAGAGTCCCCGCGGTGGGGAGCTACCTTCTGACCACTGGGCACAAAGGGGTAGCACCCATGGGGGTCACTCACAAGGTTTTCTTTACGAAAGGGCAGCAGGCTGGGCCTGGTCTCCAAGGCAGAGCAGGTGAAGCCTAACAGTGCCTTCTGGTGGGAAGTAGAGATCACTCCTAACGATCATCCCACCTAACCTCTTCCACAGCTGCATGCTCCTTACTCAGAATAAGCTGGGAATCCATGTACATGCAATTTTTAAAACGACTCACAGCAAACCAAGCCATTCAGCACATGGGGTTTCCGTTTGTACCACTCTAAATAAAATAGAATCCAGGAAATTCACCAAGAGCCAAATAAGCCACCTCCACCTACTTCTGTCTATACTTGCAGCTAGGAATGAATAAGGCGAGGGTGGGAATGAGGGAACCTCCCAGCGGCCCAGCCCGGTGCTTCCCGCGGCAGAAGTCTGTTCCCCTTGTCAGTCCTCCTCACGATTGCCAGTCCCCACCTCGACACGGTCTACTTCCATTAACTCAGACTTTCCGGGGTCTACGGCGTCCTAAAGGTTACAAGTCCCTAAGGTTACAGAACTTTGGAAAAGATACCGTTGCTTTCAAAGCCAATAAGCTGAACAAAACCCTTGGGCGCAAATGCGCCGCTCCAGCTCCGGGACGCAGCTCCCGGCTTCTCTGGCGCTTTGGGGACAGGGACGCGGGAGCGCAGCGCAGCCCTCGAGTGTTCATGGCCTCGTCACCAGCCTCCGGAGCCCACGAGAAACACGCCCCGCGAGGCCGACGCCGCGCGCGAAGAACTGGGGCCGAGAAAGCACACGCAGGGGGCCAGGTCTGGCAGTGGACCGAGGTGCGGCCACCCTCTGGGGTGGGAGTCGAGGACAGATCCAAGTCTTGCGACCCCGGGTGACCTGGCCATGCGTGGACGGCGGAGCTCCGGGTCCACGCCGCGCCCGCTCACATCGCTCTTTGTGAGCTAGCACCCTCCCGATTCGGCCGCAGGACGCGCTCCAAGACGCGGCCCCAGCGGAGAACCCAGCCCCGGCTCTGCGCTTGTAGGGCTCCGGGGATCCGGACGACAGACTGGGGGTCGGGGGCGCACTCACCTTCCTGCTGCCGCCCGCAGCCAGCGCGGAGCCGCCCCCCGAGTACATGTAGTAGGCGATACCCAGCACCCAAAGCAGTGCGAAGCACAACAGCACGCGCGAGCGCCGCCGCATCCTCCCGCGGGCCTGGGGCGCGGGGATGGCTGGGGACTGGGCACGGGGACCGGCGCGAGCGGGCGGGGGCGGCGGCGCTCAGCGCCCGGCAGGAAGCGCGGGGTCAGGGAGCAAAGGGCGGCCAATCGGCGCTAGGGGCGGGGCCTGAGCTGGGGGCGGGCCCGCGTCTCCATGGCGGCGGCGCCCCGCCTCCTGCGCGCTGCCAGGCTCGTGAGTGGCAGGTGGCTGCCAGCTCGGGCTGGCGGGTGAGATCTGTGGCAAGTCGTCCCTCGTCCCTGCCTCGTGAGTGTCCCGTGCACATCTTGCAACAGACCCCGCTCGTCCCCAGGTGTCAGTTTCATTTATTTATTTAGGCAAAGGGGACCTCAAGGTGGAAACTGGGAAGGTAATTTTCAAAAGAACGTGCTTTGGGGGATAAACAGAGCTCTTAATAGCAACGTGGCGGTTATGTTAAAGCAAACATGAAAGAGGAAGAAGGGAGACAAAATATATTTTTAAACCTTTTCTTTTTCGTTGTTTATGTGAAAGAAGAGTGGAATGAGCACACTAAGCATCTCTAAAGGTACAAGAAATGTCTCTGGTAACAGCATCAAGGTAACCTTGACGATGCCCTTGTAACTGCGAAGTTTCCCGTGTTTCTAAGAAAGAGGTGTTACAAGTGTTTTAGGAGTTTCTGAGTCTGTAGGATGATGGCTGCTGCCAGAATGGGAATCTACCCACATCCCTAGCCAAACGAGCTCACAGTCAGGCTTTCTGTGTCTCTAGGAGTGAGAACGCATAGCCAAACGAGCTCATAGTCAGGCTTTCTGTGTCTCTAGGAGTGAGAACGCATGGCCTCAGCTTCAAATTAAGAAGGAAAAAAAGACATCAAATTGCAAAAGATCTTCCTCCATGACTACCAAGGGCATAGGAGAAGCACAGGCGTGCCATATCTGTACAGGGAAAGTCTAACACCAACCACTAAATATGAAACACAAGTTCCAAACTATTGATCAAGGGAAGAGATTTGGGGGTAAAAATGAAGCAAGAGGTGACAGGCTTAAAAATTCCTTGCTTCTTGGGAAAAGTCAGATTTTTAAAAAAGTAATGTCCTTTAGAGGCCTGGTGGTGAAGGGAAAGAAGGATGTGTGAAGGGAAAATTAAAGAGAAGACAGCCAGTCCCTCCCCCAGCCACCAGCATTATCCATTGAAAACTGCACATCAGGCACACGCAGCTGATTCTTAGAAACCCTGCTTCAAACTTTGGCTAGAAACAGAAACCCATCAAGTCTACTTTTTAAAAAAAGCCTAGTATAAAAAGGAAACAGGAAACTAATGCAATTCCTGATGATGAAAAAGGGATCATAACATTTCAGCTAATGATCCCCCCAAAAAAGTCATGGAGCAGAAGAAAAGTATAATATTACATATCAAACTGAACAAAGTGCCAGAAGTTTTGGACACACATATATGTATACAGGAATTTGAAACTAAGAACAAGATAGACAAAATTTAGAAAGCAGAGGAATGCTTTGATCAAATTAAAGAAATTGAAAATAAAGACAAAAATGATCCCATATACAAAAAATAATTACAAAGGCATCTGAGAGCCAAATCATTCAAATTCAAATGAAATGAAGAAGAATTCATTCAAAGCCCTTTATGTAAAAGGACTTTGAAGAGTGGCAAAAAAAAAAAAAAAAAAAACAACTAAAAATAAGATAAGTAAAAAGGCCATCGGTGGGATGAAGCAGGAGGATTGCAAGCCCAGCCTGAGCTACTCAGTGACTGGCTCAAAATAAAACATTTTAAAAGGGCTGAGAATGTAGTTCACTGTGAAAGCCTTGAGTTCTTTCCCTAGTACTCCAGGGAAGAAAAAATTTAGAACAATAGAGTTGTTTTTTCTTTTCCTTTTTCTCTGTCTTTCTTTTTTCTTTCTTTCTCTCTCTCTCTCTCTCTCTCTCTCTCTCTCTCTCTCTCTCTCTCTCTCTCTGTTTTTTTGGCAGAGTCTTGCTACTATATTTCAGGCTGATTTCAAACTCAGTAAGTAGCCCAGGCTGGCCTCAAACTCACAGCAATCCTCTTGCCTCAGCCTCCCAAGAATAAGGCTGGGATTACGGACTTTCACACCACACCTAGTTTTCAGATTTCTCAAGAGCAATATAAAAAGCAGAACAGCAACGTTGTCACATTCACGGGGAATTCAAAGAAAAAAAAATACCAGCCAAGAATTTTTAGATCAAGCCTCCAGGCATCAAGGCTATAGACAAAAAAATGTGATCTGAGTACAAAAATTCAGAGACCATATGCATAGGCTTTTCCTGAGGAAGCTCAGAGAAAGCACTTTTTCCACCAACAGACAGCAGAAGAAACAAGCAGAATGACTGATGAAGAGCATTTCATATACTTAATGACTGGAAGATACTACAGCAGCTCTCAGAAAATTAAAAAGTAGAAGTACCATGTGATCCAGCATGTTCACTGCTGGGTGTTTATCTAAAAGAATCGAAGACAAGGAATCAAACATGTATTTGTATAGTAGCATTTTCCACAACAGACAATGTATAAGCAAAATGTGGCATATTCATAGTGGAATATTACCCTTTAAATGAAGGAAATTTCAATAGATATTACAGTATGGATGAAACTTGTGAACTAATATTAAGCAAAAGAAGCCAGGCAAAAGGGGAGACACGCTGTGATTTCATTTACGTGATGTTCCTAGATAGTCAAAATCATAGGGACAGAAATAATGGCAATTCTGGAGGGGAGGAGGGATGGACACTTAGTGTTTAATGGAAGCAGAATGTCAAGGTGGAGAGATGAATTCTGGAAGTGGATGGTGGTGATGGCTGTAGAACAATGTAAATGTGCTTAATGATACAAATGTATACTTAAAAGTGATTGAAATGCTGTTTTTTGTTATGTGCATTATTGCAATAAAAATGCACAAATGATAAATTAGAAGGAATTTCCATAGTCACGGATAAAGAGAGTAATATGCCTGTTATATAAAGAACTTAAACACTTTGAGGGGAAAGTTTAAATCTCATAAAATGGGCAAAACCATAAACAGACAATTCACAGTAGAAATCTAAAAAGAGTCCATAGCATATGAAGAGATGTAGACTTCACTCCAGTCCAAATTAGAAATACAAAGATACTATTTATCACCACAACACATGCAAAAAATCAAAAGCTTGATGAACAGTCTGTTGCCAAGACTATAAAAAAAGAATAAGGCAGACTTCTGTGAACAGATAAAGAGTGATTTCCTGGAAATGCTTTGTAATGGCTGATGCATTGTATCAATTTGGGAAGTTTAATGAAGCAACTCAGCAGAGGACTGTGGTCCTCACATTGTAAACATCCCCATTCTGTGCAAGAGGTGCGCACCCAAATGATGTGAGTACTACACCCACCCTAGGAGGTGGTAGCTTGCTTGCAATATAAGGGAGGAAAAGTAGCTTGCTCTGCCCCACCTCTTGCTCTTGTTGCTTTGCTATCTTCTGCTGCCTTGAAGTGTTACCCCTGTACCATGCCACTCTTTCTTGGAGCCACATGATTATGGACTGAAACTTCCACAAAGTGTGAACTAAATAAATCTTTCTTTCCTCAATTTCAGGCATTGGGGATTTTTTCTAAGCAATGAGAGAAAAGTAACCAAGAGAGTTATGAAATGAGAAAACCAAAGTGTCATATAGAGTATATAATATGCTACTTTTTATATGAGAAAACATAAATATATCTTCTGGTTTTAGCAAAATACACACTAATTATAAGCCAGAAAACAATAAACCAATCAAGGTGGAAGGAAAAGGTAGAAGGAATAGGAAAAGAGTAACTTCTCTGACTACACCATTTTCTTGGTTTAATGCAAACATAATACATTCTATATATTCAAAAAGCAATATAGATGAGAGAGTGGAATAAAATGGAATCTAAACATAAATATCTGAATCCAAATATGCTGCCAATGAATAATGTAAGAGGGATGAAATAACTAATATTTATAACTTTTAAACAAAGTACTTTAAACAGCATAGTAGCCATAATCCCAGCACTCTGAGAGGATGTGGCAGGAGGATCACAAGTATGAGCCCAGTCTGGGCAACTTAGCAACTGAGTGAGAACCTATGGCAAAATAAAAAATCTTAAAAATAATAAGCTAGGAGTGTACCTGAGCACAAAGGCTACATATACTCAGTTTAGAGAAAAACAGCATTTTTGAACTCTTCTTTATGTTTTTAATGTAGTGTCATGGGTATAACAAACTATTTTATGTATCATGTGTGGTTAAGCAAATTAGAAATGTTTTGGGGAGGAAGAATTTCCATGTGGAAGGTATAGAACAGGGAATGCAAGACAGATTTCTACAGATTAGATTTGTAACTAGCGGAAACTGTGGACCATCTCTCACACACACCCATGTTCATGTATCTGTACAAATATATGTACACACACGTGCTACCATTTCCTAGATCTGTTCACTAGAAGAGCCTAGTGAGGCAACCACAGCACCAAGTAGACCTTGAATTTAGAACCTGGTTTCCAGATATCACTCCATGCTCTCCACTCCAAGAACATTTCCTTGGGGGAAATAGAGGATTCCACAACTGGGGCCTAGTAGGTACTATATGAGCCTGGAACATCTTGTTATAATGGATGGTAAGGATGGGCAGAAAGAAGAGAAAAAGTGACAGCAAGTGTATGCAACATTAGACCCACCAGTCAAAGTGAAACATCCCTCACCTGGGCTACATCTAGGACAATATGTGCCTCAAAAGAAACACTGAAGCCAGGCTTGGTCACCCAGCACTCAGGAAGCTGAGGCAGGAGAATCACCATAAGCTCAAGGCTAGTCTAAGTTACATAGTGAATTCAAGGCCAGCCTGAACTACACAGAGACCTTGTCTCAAAAAACAAACAACAAAAAAAGAAAACAACAAATAAAATAAACATTGAATAAAATGAGCCCATACTGATAATAAGTAAGTAATAAGAGAGATCTTCCTTTGCATGAATGCCAATAGATACAAGTGCAGAGAAGGCAAATCAGGTTTTTGCAGAAAGCCACAGTAGAGATTGATTTGGAGGCGCCTCATCAATGAC